TATATGTCATGATTCTAAAATATTAGAATTTACAAGGATATACAGTCATTTAGCCTATCTTCCTTCTTAATAAGTGATTCCTTAAAACAAATGGATACTGTTTCTGTGGCAGTCATGCAATTAATTCATGGATAAACTTGAACTAGAACATAAATTCATTAACCAGAAGGTGCTGTCTATATACTCAGACCATCAGCCAACTAATTAAAAAAATAAGTACAATTCAAGTCAGGCATATTGGCACATATGTGTAATCCCAGCCCTTGGGCAGCCGAGGAGGAAAGTTTTGAGTTTGAGGCCAGCCTGGGCTACAGAGTGAGTTCCAGTTTAGGCTGGATATGGGACCTCCTCTTAAATAGAAACAAACAACCGCAAAAACATAGTAGTACCAAGAATTCTCACATCCGTCCATTTCCCAGTGTTAGCATCTTGTGATTACTGGGTGTTACCAAAGCAGGATTGCTATGGCATTGGTGCAGTGCTTCAGACAGGCTACAGGCCCTAGTCCCAGGCTTTACACACAGCCTGCCATTTTAAAGTAACCGGTCCAGTTTATTTGGTAAGAAGACATAATAGGCCTGATGGCACATACCTTTAATCCCAGCACTTTGGAAGCAGAGGCAGGTGGATCTCTCAGTTCCATGCCAGCCTGGTCTATATAGTGAGTTCTAGGTCTATCTCTCCCCACACCCTCCAAAAATAATAATAGTTATTTAAGCCAGGTGGTAATGGCAGACACCTTTAATCCCAGCATTCAGGAGACAGAGGCAGGCAAATCTCTGTGAGTTTGAGGCCAGCCTGAACTACAAAGCAGGTTCCAGAACAGGCTCCAAAGCTACACAGAGAAACCCTGTCTCGAAAAAAAAGACATAAACAATAACAATGGTTATATAATTTCTTAGTTCTAAATACTTGAGAAATTGTTAACTCCCCTTGTTCCCATTTTAACACTCATGGAATTTAGAGTCCTGGTACAAAAGAACGTCTGCAGATTATTTATCTTAACTCAGGATAAATATTTTTGACATTATATACTTCAGCAAGATATTAATTGAAATGAAGGCTATATATAGTATCTTTTCTGATCCTAGTTTTTTGTTGCTATAGAGAATTGTCTTTTGGGAGTTCTGTGCAAGTCCAAGGGCAACTGGTCAAAAGTCTATCCAAAAGGCAAAATGTGGAACTGAAGGCAGAAAAAATTGAGGTTATTGGAAATTGTGAAGCCAAGGTATGTTTACTAATAATTTTGAGGGACTGTTTAGCTTTAATCTAAAACATTAGTGGTTCATTTAAGTCTATTGAGAGTATAACACTTAGAGCAGTTTCATTTGTGACTTCCCTGATCATTGAAACAGATCACTGAGCCTAGTGTGAAGTAGTATTATAAAGACTGCCTTTATATGGGCGCACGCCTTTAATCCCAGCACTCAGGAGGCAGAGGCAGGTGGATCTCTGTGAATTCGAGACCAACCTGGTCTATAAGAGCTAGTTCCAGGACAGACTCCAAAGCCACAGAGAAACCCTGTCTCAAAAAAAAACCAAAAAAAAACACCAAAAAACGGCTTCATCTTCTGGGAGCCAAGAATTAATTAGTCTGTGCATTTCTGTGGTACCTGTCACATCTGAACTTCATCTTCTAGCCATTTTGGCTTCTTATTTTTGCTATAATTTTAAATATTTAATGAGCAAAATTGTTGTGCCTTGGCTTCTGTAGTTTTGTACGTGTTATTTATTTATTTTAAACTCTTATTGTTCCTAATCTCAAATCTAAGACTTATAGCATGTAAATGGATGGTATCCCCTGCCCCCTGCCCTAGTGGTATTGAGAATCTAGCCTCAAATTCTGCTTTGGGTAAGCAATACATCCCTAGCCCTGGCTTAGTGTAACTTAATGTTTCAGATGTGAGAGAATTCTGAATCTCTACTAATGGGGCCACAATTTACCTTCAGTAAGTATGATATTTGTTTCTATACAACATAAAAAGAAATAATTACCCAACACCTAAAGAACAGGAGACTAGCAGTCTTCCAGTGCTGTTCTTTTTAAACTTTGCTGTTAACTTTTTAATTGAAATTTCAGGTTTTGTTTGAAAAGATAATATGTCGTCTTAATTTTATAACGTGAGTGTAGCCAGGTTGGAGACGTTTCGAGTTGAAGCCATAATTTCCTTTAATATTTTCCAAATCTTCAGTACTGTGCTAAATGACAGAAAGCTGTGGTGTCTCCCTCATGCTGTTAGGTACCAGCAAAAGTTGATAAACAATAAGCAACCTTAATCGATTATGCTTGTGGCTTCAAGACACTGGGGAGAAGTTAAATACCGACATGTGTGTGTGAGAGAGATGTTAGGAAAAGCCTTTTATATATGTAGTGTTTTGAAATCATGTGCCAAAGTGAATTATTTTGAATAGTTACGTGCTAACCTCTCTAGTAAGAAACTGACAGCTAATGGATAGAAACTTAATAAATAACAGGCGAGCCTCAGTGACATTAAGTCAGTTAGCTACCAAGTAGTGAAGCTGGCTTTAACCTTCCACCTTTAACCTCTAACCCTAACTCCACCCAGCCATTCTGTTTACTGGGTAGATGTAATTGGGTTCCAATCCAGTCTACTAAGAAATAAAGAGCTGAGGAGACGGCTTAGCAGATAAAGCTGCTTGCTTATTTCCAAGCTTGATGACCTGAAGTTTGATTCCTGGGACCTGCATGGTGGAAGGAGAGAATCAACTCCAAGTTGTTCTCTTATCTCTGAACATGTGATGTGGTATGAGAATGTGCAGATGTATGCATACATGCACATAAAATATATGTAATTAATATTTTTTAAATAATAAAGAAGGAAAACATCTTAGTTTTATCCCAAACCACTACTGTTTTAAGAAATACTCTGGAAACTGGTTTGTAAAATTGTTTTTGTTGTTTGCTTGGTATCTTGTTTTGTTTTGTTTTTCTTCTAAATTTCCCCCATAATTTTGGCAGGCATTCCCTATAAAATATAAGGAGAGGCATCCCCTGGAGTACCTGAGACAGTATCCTCACATGAGGTGTAGGACTAATACTCTAGGTTCAATATTGCGGGTTCGCAGTGAAGCTACAGCTGCTATTCATTCCTACTTTAAGGTAAGGTGCTCTTCTGTGTGTTCTTTTTAATGCAGTTTAAGCATTTTCCTGAAAGCTCTTATTTGTTCTAAATACTCTTTATTTTATAAAGAATTAGATGTCACAGGCACCCATATCTATGTTCTCCCTTTTCTCCTTTTCTTTTCTTGTATGTAGCTTAATAGCATTGAGGAATAGCTTGCATAAAATACTGTGCATATTGAAAGTGTATGGTCTGATGAGTTCTGGCATGACTGTACCCCTGAAGGCATCACCACAATGAAGGTAGTAAATACATCTATTGAAGGGACCAGCTCCCCATTTTGGCAGCCATAATAGCCTAACATGGCTTGCCTGACCTTGCCTTGGTCACTAGGAGGTCAGATGCCTGCCTCATGGCAAGGAACCAATCAGAAATTAGCTGGTGGTGCTATGCACAGCAATGACGTGCAGAGAACAGCAACTGCCCCAGGGAGGGCCTATGGGCCATAACAACCAGTTGACCAATCAACACAGGACAAGCCCTCCAAGCCTGGAGGCACACCAATCCTGAGCCTGTGCTTCCCTATAAGATCTCTGTCCCATGGTTTCTTGGTGTCTTTCCCTAGCCATCCGCCATGGTGGATGGTTGAAAGGCCCGAGCTAACATGGGGTTAGCTCAGTAAACAATTGCAATAAAAGACTCATTGCTTTTGCATCGAAATGGACCTCGGGGGATTTGGGGAATCAGAATTTGGGCACAACACTATGAACCTGAAGGTTTGTATGTCTGAAATAGCTCTTATTTCACCTTTGTTTTTGATGATACTTTCTATGGATATAGAATTACAGGTTGATAGACTTTTACTTTTCTTTGTGTATGGGTGTTAGCATGCATGTATGTAAGTGTACTATTGCATGCTTGATGCCTCTGGAAGCCAGAAGAGGGTATCAGATTACCCTAGAACTGGAGTTACAGACAGCTGTCAGCCACATGTGGGTGCCAGGAATAGAACCCAGGTCCTCTGGAAGAGCAGGCAATGCTCTTAACCACTGAGCCATGAGGTCTTGTTAAATAGGCAAAGCTTCTCTTCAAGTTACATGTAGCCCAGATAGCCTCAAACTGAAGCTCTTCTTGCCCCACTTTCCTAAGGACTTGGGTTATACACATGAGTCCAGATTCTTTAAAGTTACCACTGTGTCTTCTCATTGTTTCCAGTGAGAACTGATGTTGTCTTTTTCTTGGTTCCTCTGAATAAAATACCTTTTTTTTTTTTCCCCTTTGGCTTCTCTTTATCTCTGATTTTATGAGTTCAGTTGTGATGTGTTTTGGCATAACTCTCTTATTTTTCTTTTAGGGTTGGTTAAATTTCTTAGATACATGAGTTTGTCATTTTTATCAACTTGGGCTTTTGGGGGTATGTTTGTTTGTATTTGCTGTGTTGCTGAGGATTTCCTGGCATTTGTGATTCTCCTGATTTTAGTCCCCTTACTAGCTAGCCATGTGTCACTGTACCCAGCTCCTGAAGGTTTGATTTTTTTTTTTTTAGCCATTGTTTCTTTAAATATTATGTCCATGTTAGAACACTTAGTGACAACACATAGCCCATTGAACGCAGGGCCACAAGTATGCTTGGAAAGTGCACTCATGGGCAAAAGATCCATTCCTAACCCTTGTTTGTTTTGAGACTGAATCTAACTAAGTTACCCAGGCTGGCCTTGAACTTGTGATACTCCTATCTCAGCCTTCTGTGTAGCTGAAATTACAGGCTTGTATCACTTCACCTACTTGGGACTTGTTTGTTTGTATGTTTTTCTTTTTGTCTTTCATGTCTACTTTTCTAATATGGAATACAGGCTTAGTTTTAAAATTATGTACTTTTTGTGTGTCTAATGCCTAGTATGTCTGTCACTTATGGGTTAGTTTTGGTTAATTTGTTTTGGGTTATGTTTTCCTGCCTCTTGGTATACTTTCTGATTTTCAGTTGATGCCAGATGTTATGAATTTTACCTTGTGAGTACAGGGTGTTTACAAAGGTTCTCAAACTCTGTTCTGGTATACCATTAAGTTACTTGAAAACTGTCAAGTACTTGTGATCTGTTTTTTGTAATGAGTCTTTGTCTTTCCCTCCAGCCAATTCCCAAATCACAACACAAAGACTTATTTTTAATTATGAAAGCTTGGCCGATAGCTTAGGCTTGTTTCTAACTAGTTCTTATAATGTAAATGAACCTATTTCTATTCATCTATGTGGTGCCACATAGCTCTTTTACCTCTTATGCTGCATGTCTTGCTTTCTCTGCATCTGACTGGTGACTCCACCTTCTTCTTCCAGGTGTTCTCTCTGCCCTGAAAATCCTGCCTAGCTATTGGCCATTCAGCTTTTTATTTAACTGATCAGACTAACAAATCTTCACAGTGTACACAAAGATTATTCTACAACCGTTTTTGCGTATCATGTCTGGAATGTGCTCAGTATAGTACTGGTTATTCCTAATGGTCTAGGTGAAGCCTTCCTGAATATTCTACTTAGTACCTGGAGAATTATAAGATTTCTTAGACTGTGGGAACATCCAACCAACATGTAAATACCAGACCCCCATCTCCGCTATTCTCTTTGGGTTATTCTTTCTCAATCTTCGATAGTTTCTTTCTTTCGTGTACTGATCAGTTCTGTACCTGAAACTCCTGTATTACATTCTAGACACCTCCGTTCTCACTTGTCTGATATTCTAGCCTATGACTGTAGCCACTTAGGTTTCTTCAGACTCTTGACAGTTTCTGCTCAGCTCAGGGAGTCTTCTGGGCCCCACACTACCTCCTCCTTCCTGTGCTGCGTCCAGAAGGATCTCACTGTAGTAAGTCTTATAGTGGTCACCATGTTCGTTTCTCATAACCCACAGATCATTCACTACCTTTGCTGTTTGATGTCTAGTATCTTGAAAATCATTGTTTCATGTAGCTTGCTTCCTGTTTTTAATATATTGTTTTGTGCTTGTTTCGATAGGAGGGTAAATACAATCTCTGTTTCTGTATTTTGGTCACATCAGTGGGAGGCCACCGAAGGCCAGTGGTGATCCAGCAGATATGGCCCATGCTGTTTGCTCACGTCACCTCTTCAGACTCTGCTAGTTTACAGAGGCAGTACAACACTGTCGTCTTTCCCTGGGTGCATCTGAATGTGTGCAGTTTCAGTCTGTTCTTCACCAGATTATACTTTGTGTAGAAGTCTGTCTGCTAGAGGTCATTTCTGAAAGACTAAAAAAAAGCATCATAGCTTTAAGGCGCATAATTTCATTTAAACAAAGGAAAATAAATTATAGTACACAATTTTATCCCTTGTAGTTTGAAAGAGTCTATTTATACATGATCTCACAATTTTTTATGCACCTTCCATATGAATTTTTAGTAGTACTTGACCCACACAAATAACAGAATCTCTTTAGAGCTAAAAATAAAGGGTTTTGTTTTGCTTTGCTTTGCTTTATTCTCCTCGTGACTCAACAACTGAGAAAATGGACTGCTTTAATTCTGAAGCCATTTTATACATTTGATACATGTTTTGGCCACTAGATGGTGGTATTGGCAATCCATTGACAAGTAAATTTTGCCTCCTTTTTATATATTCATTATTTAGAGCTTTTACAAATATGAAAACAAATTTAAAATATAGATCAAAGTATAAAATCTGAAATAAGAAAATAATTAAAATGAAATAAAAATTATAAACATTTATGTAGTTAAATAATTTTAGTGTTAATATAGTGGTTATAAAGTCAAGACACTTTTAATGTAAATTTACTTTTTAGCACTAAAAAAACATGTTTTATGTGTATGGGTGTTTTTCATGGAGGTATGTCTGTGCCACACATGTATTCTGGGACCAGTGTTATGCAAGAGGGGGCTTCAGATCCCCATGAACCGGAGTTAATAGATGATTATGAGCCACCATGTGGGTGCTGTGACTTGAACCTGGGTCCTCTGGAAGGGCAAGCATGCTCTTAACGCTGAGCCATCTCTGCAGCCCCTCACTTTTAAATTTTTAATCATATTTTAAAAATATAATGCTGATGTTTCATTCTGTGGTGTCTAGTACATGACAATTAGGATTGTGCATTTCAAGAAGTTCCTAGAACCAGAGTGTGGTAGTTCATGGCTGTAATCCCAGTACTCAGGACACCAAGGCAGGAGGACTGCCAGAGTTATAGTCAGTAATTACCACCTCAGTCAGGGCTACATAGTAAGACTGTGTCTCAAGAATCAACAAAAAGTCTATTGTTGTACTTATAAATAATGATTACATATTACCTAACATTTGATATTGTTTCTTTGGTTTATTACTGTGGGTTCCTTAAAAGATGTTAAAATTTTCATAAACTCCAGACCTATCAAACATTTATTAATGTAGTAAAGACTGGGGATGTAAGTAGTATTTTAAACTAGGGTATTATAACAGTGTAGAGCTATTTTTTGGTTTGAGTATCAGAAATTATTTTGTGTAGGTGCTGGGGCTATAGCTCGATTGGTTGAGTACTCACTTAGTTTTCACAAAGCTCTGGGCTTGATCCCCAGTACCACATAAAACAGGGCATGGTGGAGTGTGTGCATGTAATCCTAGTACTCATGAGCTAGAGGTAGGAAAATCAGGAGTTCAAGTCATCTTGGACTACATTAGCAAGTTTGAGACAAGCCTGGGTTGCATGTGACTCAAACTCTAAAAATGAAAATTAAAAACACATAGTCGCATAAACAGTATGTATAACTTGATTTACTCATAGATTACTCTTGCTGTGTTCTAAAACTCGTCTGTTAGAATCCTCCAGGATAAATCTTTTAGAAGAGGCAAGTTCCTCACATAACTGAAGATTTTTCTCTGGGTTTATCTAAAATGGAATGTGTATTTTCTTGTCCTCCTCAAGTGTGGCAGTAGAAAAGACTATCCTTGTGAATGATGGTTCTTCCTGTGAATCTCAGGGGTGTCCTCTGCTGACAATGCCTCCACAGCCCGCCTTGGAGCACAGTGGTCTTTGGCCACAGTCTGCAGCATTTTAGCAGTGTAAAATGCATTGTGTTATAGGTCTTCTTGTTTCCTCTGTTCAGGTCACTGTTTTGTTGCCAGTGTTATGTTGGTGGTTGGAATTCCTCTCTCATTTCTGTCTTGGTTGATGGTGATTAAATAATGATAGCTGCTTTAGCTTTGTATGATAAGAATATAGTCCTGTTAGTCTTCTAACCGGGGGCTTGGGATATGAATGTTAAATTTTGGGTACTAAGAGCCTTGTAAAATACCTGGTTCTGAGATGTGTGCCTATATTTGGAGGTGGTAGGTGAGATTTTTGAAACAAGTGAAATGTTTGCTTCCATTTCAGGTCTTTCTCTGGCTGTCACATCTCTTATTAGGGATCCTTTTGTTATGGGATGGCTTCAGTCGTAGCTCTGTGAGACAGACACTGGTATAGTACACCTCTCCTTGGCTTTGACTTTCCATGTGATCTGCATCGTCTTCTTCCATCATGGTTTTTCCAGCTCTTCTGTGCTGCCTTTACTGTTCTTCCTTTGAGTATACTCCTTTATAGCTTTTGATAATGGTGGCTTTGAGAAGCTTTGCTAGCATCGTTAAAACTTAAGAAACTGATGACCTCTTAGAAGAGTTTGATATTAGTCATTAAAAATAATCCCCATGTTTCATTTGATTTTTTTTTTAAGTCTCATGTTATTTACCTCACATCTGCAGTGCTGTTTCATGTGGCATTTCACCAGCTCTAATGTTGGCAATGATAGTTAGCCGTTGCATTTCTTCTCTCCACCCTCATTTCCTTTGGATTTTTCACTTCCTTTCTTTGTTTACTGTGCTCATGCTTAGTTGCCTACATTTATGTGAAATAAATGATTCATGCCCATAATTCTTGGCTCAAAAGAAATAAAAGTTTTATGCAATAATCTTACTGATTGAATTTCATTGGCTCTTTATAATGTGCTGTGTGCAGCACCTCTAAACATGCTGCTTTCAGGTTAAGCAAATATTTGAATAATTTCTGGGAGTCTTAATTTATAGCTTGAATGTTTAACCAGTCTGTATCTAGGTAAGTTGTTGATTAAATAATTTCTTTTGTGGTCAGAACTCTTTAATTCAGAGAGGGTCATACTTGGAAAGTCTCCCTCTGATTATGCCTAAAGATGTTTTTATATTCTACTCGTGGTAGGCAGACCTTGGCAGGGATGCAAATGTATGAATTTATTGTATTGATTTCAAGGGTGGAATTCTGCATTAAGAGTATAGCATTCTGCCTGTGTGCTGTAAATTCACTTTTCCCTACCTGCGCTCCCATCCTGCCACATCTATTCTGAATGTAACCTTTGCCTACATGTATAGTCAAAGTGAAAGAAGTATAACCTTGAAGTTGGTGGGTTATTTCAATCCTGCTAGCAACAGCTTTTGTGGTTCACTAATGGAAACAGTCGCAGACTTTTGATCGGAAGGACAGCAGTTGGGCGCCTCAGTGATGGATGGGCTTGCTGCTGCTTGAAACGTTCTTGAAGCAAAGGAAGTACACTCACGGCCTGGGCCTGTGCAGTACATCATGCGGTCGATTGAATGACAGAGACTTCTCCCTCTTCCTAGTTACTTCTTTAGCCCCAGCCTTTATTTTCTCCTTTTTGATGGTTCATTAATGCTGAGGTTTCATTTAAAGATAACTGAACTTCATATTGTTCACTTTGCATTCCATTAGCAGTGTGGGCCACATCATTCCACATTAGCCTGGGTGAAAGTGTGTTCCTGCTTGTTCCTTAGGCCATCACCAGCAAACTAGGAATGTGGGAAGAAAAAATAGCATTAGAGATAGAGGAAGGGCTTGTGTTCCATCCCTGGCTTAGTTACTGACTAGTTGTCTAACTTGGAAACTAATGAAATCTCTCTGGGATAGGATTTGCTTATTTCTGAAATGAAGTAGTTAGATAAGATATATCTAAGTCTGTTACATATTTAACATTTTTGTGTGCTTCTATGCATAATAAAACATTCAGCTGGCCAGAGGTAATAATGTATGCCTATAATTTGAGCTCGAGAGACTGACACAGGATAGAGAATTCAAGGTCAGCCTATAATACGTAGTAAACCCCTCCCAAATACCCACAAGCAAAAAGCCACTTAACTGATCGTTGAACAGTCTTATAATTGGAGAGTTATCAAGAGATGACATTATTTTGATGCCATTTAAATAGTAAAACACAGCATATCTTGGAATTGCTTTACATACAAATATAGTTAAGAGTTTTCCTTTCTCTTCTAGGACAATGGCTTTGTGCACATTCATACACCAGTAATCACATCCAATGACTGTGAGGGAGCTGGAGAGCTTTTCCAAGTGGAGGTAAGCTGTATTCCCCCTATTATTGCTGCTTGATATTTTTCTTTAAGGATTTGCTTTAAATTTAATAATGGTTTTGTGGACTGAAGACCATGGCTAGCACCTGAAGTTGTCATTAGTAATCCTCAAAAAACATTTGAATTGCTCTGATCTCTTACATTTCCAGCCCTATTATTCCACTGTAAATAGAAGGGATGAATTTTTAATTTAGCATTCTATTTACTTTTCATGGAGTATATATGTCAGTGAAATCAGAGGAGGCAGGAAGGGGACCTGAAGGGCTGGGGAGTGAAGAGAAGGGTTGTAAATAAGAACAAAGTATAATAATATATATCTATAGAATGTCACAATCAAACCCATTCATTTCTTTGTGTGCTAATCAAAAAACTAAGAGTTAAACAAAATAGAAAAGTGTGCATATAAGAAAAGAATTTTCCAAATTTGTATAGGAGTGGATTTTTTCATAAGAAATGATACACTTCCAGAAATGTTTTTTTTTCCTCTATTGATCTTTATTTTAGTTTTGAGTGCATTTTCCCAACATATTCCCCTACCCTCTCCTTTCTGTGCTCCCCCATTTATCCCCTTTGTTCACCTACACAGTTTTGCTTCTGCTTTCATCTCATACATACATACATGATTTTATGCATTTATATAAAATATAGAAGCCAATAATGAGAGCAAATGTGATATTTGTCTTTTTAAGGTAGATTTGACATAATAGCTCTGCTTGCATCCATTTTCCTGCAAATGGCACCTTTATTCTTTATGGTTTTAAAAAAAAATGTTATTGTGTAAGCTGGGGAAGTAGCTCATTTGGTAGAATGTTTGCCAAACCCTTAGGTTCAGTCCCCAGCAACTCATAAATAGGGTGTGGTGGTGAATGCTTGTAATTCCAGCACTTCAGGAGATGGAAGTAGTACGAATCAGAAGTTCAAGGTGATCTTCAGTTATGTAGCAAGTTCAAAACTAGCCTGGGTTACATAAAATTTGTCTGAAAAAAGCCTTCCATTGTGTATATAGACCATATGTTTGATGATGAACACCTAGGTGGTATTATCACTTAACTATTGAGAACAGTGTTACAGTAAATACTAGTGTGCAAATGTTTTTCTGATGTTGACTTGAGTCAGTCTTTCAGGTAACTTAGGAATGATATATCTAGGTCATTTGGTAGATTCAGTTTTAGGGTTTAGGATTTGAGGAACTCTTTGTAGGGATTTCCATAGTGGCCAGACTAGTTCACATTGTCAACAGCAATGTGTGAAGGTTCTCTTTTGTCCCCATCATTGACAGCATTTTTGGTTGCTTCTTTTCTTAGTGACTGCCATTCTGACTAGGGGGAGATAGAATCTCAGTATCGTTTTAACTTGTATTACTAGGCTAGTGAGGATGACCTTTTTTTTTTTTTTTTTCATATGCCTATTGGTCAGTTTTGCTTCATCTTTTTAGAAGTGTCTGTTCATCTCATTAGATCATTTATCTGTTGGTGTAGTGGTTCGAATGAGAATAGCCCCCACATAGGCTCATAGATTTGAATACTGGTTAGGAGGGAATGGCACTATTTGAAGGGTTAGGAGGTGTGGCCTTGTTAGAGGAAGTGTGTGTCACTGGGAGTAGGCTTTGAGGTTTCTAGGGTCCAAGACAGGCCCAGTGTCTCTCTTATCTGCTACCTTCGGATCAGATGTAGAACTCTCAGCTGCTTTTCCAGCACCATGTCTGCCTGCATGCCACCATGCTCACCACCATGAAGATAATGAACTAAACTTCTGAAACTACAAGCAAGTCCCAATTGATTGCTTTCTTTTCTAAGAGGTACCATGGTCATGGTGTCTCTTCACAGCAATGGAACACTGAGTAAGACAATTAGGTTGATTCTTGTTATTTGTTTTGGTTTTTTGTTTGTTTGTTTGTTTTGTTTTTAGTTCTTCCTGTGTTCTAGGTATTAATCTTTTATTGGCTACATCGATAGCAAGGTCTTTCTCCCAAGGCAGTAGCTTCACACAATTGCTTCTTTTGCTGTATAGAAGCTTTCTGGTTTCATGAGCTCTCGCTTGTCAGTTGTTGGCATTATTTCCTGAGCTGCTAGAAAGTCTTTACCTATGCCTGTATCTCAAAGTGTTTTCCCTACTTTGTTCTGTTAATAGTTTTAGACTTTCAGTCTTATATTAAGGTCTCCTATCCTTATGGAGTAGACTTTTATACAGGGTATTTGATGGGGATTTAGGTTCATTTTGATGCATGTGGATATCCAGTGTTCCTAGTACCATATGTCAAAGAGGCTGCATTTTCTTCAGTGTATAATTTTGCTTGTCATCTATGTTAAAAAGCAAATGGTGGTAGTTGTGCAGGATTATTTGAGTCCTCTGCTTTATTCCATTGATTTGTATATCTGGGGTTTTTTTTTGCCAGTTTTATGCTGATTTTATTAGTTAATTCTATGACTCTAAAGCATAACTTGAAATCAAGAATACAAGTGAGTGATGCCTTTAATATCATTTATGTGTGTAAATAGGAATATTGTGTGTACATATTTGTGTGAGTATTCACATGAGCATTCAGGTTCATGTGTGTGCATGTGGAGGCCTGAAGTCAGCGTTGCGTGTCTTCCTCCATCTCTTTCCATCTAATTTTTCAGACAAGGTCTCCCACTATGCCAGGAGCTCATCAATTTGACTAGGCTTCCAGCAGGCCAGTGAGTTCCAGGAATCTACCATGTCTTCTAGAGCTGAGGTTATAGCTTTTATGTTGATTCTAGATATCCAAACTCAGGTCCTCATACTTGCAAGCCAGACAAATTAGTAACTGAGCCATCTTCCCTTTTCCTCAGTATTCTCTCTATTCAGGGATGCATGGCTATCTGGCATCTTTTGTGCTTCCATCTGAATCTCAAGGGTTTTTTTTTTTTTATCTATTTCAGTAAGAATGGCAATGGGATTTTTATGAGGGTTTCATTGAATCTGTAGGTTGATTTAGGTAGAATAGCCATTTTCACAATATCACTTCTTCCAGTCAGTGAATGTTGGGAAGTCTTTCTACCTTCTGGTGCCTTTATTTTTTTCTTCAGTGTGTAAGTTTTCATTGTAGTCTTTAGTTTCCTTAGGTTTATTCCAAGGATCTTTGTTTGTTTTTATTTTTTAAGGCAGTTGTGAATAGGATTGTTTCGCTGATTTAGTTTTCAGTATTTGTCATTGATACACAGGAAGGCTTCTGATTTTTGTATGTTAGTTTTGTAGTCTGCCACTTTGCTGAAAGTGCTTATCATATCTAAAAATCTTCAGTTAGTCATTAGGATCTTTGTGGTGACTGAAATGAGAAATGTTCCTGGTAGGCTCAGGCATATGAACACTTGCTCCCCAGTTGGTGGCACTATCTGGAGAAGCATGGGAGGTGTGGCTTTGGCTGAAGGAAGTGTGTCACTGGGGGCAGGCTTTGAGAGGATAGCCTTGCCCAGCTTCCAGCTCCTTTTCTCTGTGCTTGTGGTAAAAGATGTAATCTCTCACCTTCCTGCTCCTGCTGCATGCTGCCATGTGATAGTATATTCTTAGCCCTCTGGAATCATGAACCAAAATAAACTATTTCTTCCATTAATCTTTCTTTTGTATGTGTGTCATGGTGTTTTATCCAAGCAACTGAGAGGTAACTAATACAGTTCTGATGTATAGAATCGTATCATCTGTAAACAAGGATACTTTGAGCTCTTCCTATTTATACCCACTTTTGCTTTTTCTCTCTGTTCTTATTGTTCTATTTAAGATGTGAAGACCTTTATTTTATGCATTTTTTAATTTATTTTTCTTTCTTATGTGTATGAGTTTATTTTTATCTTGTGTGTATGAGTGTTGCCTGCATGTATGTATGTGTACCTCCTGCATGCCTGATACCTGTGGAAGCCAAACAAGAGTTCCAGATACTGGAACTGGACTTACAGATCCCTATGAGCTTTCATGTAGGTGCTGTTAACTAAACTTGCCTTCTCTGCAAGAGCAATGAGCAGCCTTACCCACTGAGCTTTCTGTCCAGCCCCAAGTTTAATTCTTTCCTTAGTAGTTATCTTCTGAGTCCTAGTATGTGCCAGACACAGTAAGCCTGCCCGTATTGCAGGTAAAAATAATAATACATTATCAGAACAGGCCATGCTTATAATTAATTCATGTAATTCCAGAACTCAGATGACTAAAGCAGAAGCATTGTGTTTTTTAGGGCATAGCAAGACCCTGTCACAAAGAAAAATGAAAAAATACTCAACCAATTTTTTTTACTTGCAGGCAGTTGAAGCCGTTCATTTACCAACTTAGCTGTTCCAAATCATTTTTTAATAGTAGATTAATGGACACAGAGAACTGTATGTTGTTGAATCATAAATTTGCGTTTTGTTATTTATTGACTTTTTTATTCCTAAAAGATGCTTTTTTATATAAATTTGTTTGATTCTACCAAGTGGCAAGATTTACTTTCTCTGCTTCAGTGTTTTCTGACTCCTGCTAGCATTCTCTTAATGCTATATAAAAAAAATAGTCTTGACCTATTGAAGTCATTATTAAGAATAAGAATCACATGTCCTTCATACAAAAGTTGAAGAAATCTTGATGATAATTGGCTTTTGGGGTTTTGTTGTTGTTTGTTTGTTTGTTTGTTTGTTTTCCAAGACAGGGTTTCCTTGTATATCTCTGGCTGTCCTGGAACTCCTGGAACTCAGTTAAAAACTGCCTTTCTTGAACTTTAATGATACATTTGGAGATAACTGATTTGCTACCAGGGAAATCTCTTGAGCAGATCTGGTAGATTACATCATGTGTCTTCTAACCTTTAAATAACTCAAGAAGGCAAGTTACCAGACGAGTATGACTAAGAAGAGGAAAATATATTTCTAAGGCTAAACACATGAGAAGTTTTCTGTGCTCATATATATTATTTCAGGACCAAACACAGGAATTTTACATAGGGGAATTAGACTTGACTATAGAGTATCCTAAAGACATGCTCTCCAGTTCACTGATTTT